GTCGCTAGTAACTAAATAAAACTTGAAAAACGTGTTGAATGGGTCAGTGAAGCAACGATTGCCTCGTCCTCCCCAGGCTCTGCCCCGACTTTCCCGCCACCTCCCGCGGGACCTGCACCCTCACCTTTCTGGTCACCAGCACCGGCAGGCACCCTCACCGCCACCCAGTCCTGGAGAAAGGCGGCGCGCCGGTCCCAGGCCCTGCTCTGGTCCCAGGTCCTGCTCTGGTCCCAGGCCCTGGTCTCGTAGGGCACCCTGGTCTCGTAGGGCACCCTGGTCTCGTAGGGCGGCAGCAGCAGCTGAGTCATCTCGGGCTGCATCAGCCCCCGCAGCTGCTCAGGCCGCAGACTCTGCATGTCTCCAGGTGGTCTTCTCCTCGGTCCAAAGGTCCCGTCGGGTCCCCTGGGCACACGCTAGGAACCTGAGGACCAACAAACATTCAGCAAGTACGCACGGAGTGCCATGGGTACTGGGCGCTGGTCCTGGGCACCCAGGGACGCACTGATGGGAGCAGAGCTCCCTGCCCTCCCCTCATCGGGTTACGGTCTAGTGCAGGGAGAGAGACAGTGTGTGGAACGATGATGTGTGCTCTGGAGAGAAATAAAGCAACACACACACACACACACACACACACACACACAGACACACACACACACACACTCATTCCATGTGCCAAGGCAGGGGAGCCACTCACACACAGACTCCCTCTGGCTGCAGAGAAAAGGGTCTGTCCCCCCACCAGCCTCCTGCAGGCCTGGCTTTCTGCTTTGCTGTCATAAAAAAAAAAAAAGGAAGAGCCCTGGCTGGTGTGCCCCAGTGGATAGAGCATCGCCTGAGGACTGAAGGGTCCCGGTTCTGTTCCGGTCAAGGGCACATGCCCGGGTTGTGGACCTGATCCCCAGTGTGGGGCATGCAGGAGGCAGCCAATCCATGATTCTCTCTCATCGTTGATGTTTCTCTCTCTCTCCCTCTCCCTTCCTCTCTGAAATCAATAAAAATATATTTAAATCAATAAGTGGAACAACAAATTGATGTTTTTTTCTCTCTCAAAAAAAATAAAAAATCAGTACAATACACACCAAAGGCAGATGCTCTACTTCAAAGAAATGTGAGCAACTCAACAATCAAATGCCTGTGCGACCATGTCTGGAGCCTTGTTCAAAGGCACCTGCTGTAAAAAACAATTTTTTAAATGAGACCCTGAAGGAAATTTTATTCTGGGCTGAGTAGTCTGTGACATCAAGGAATTCTCATTGATATTTTTAGTGTGGAAATGGCCGTGTAGGTACATAAGAAAATGTCCATATTTTCTTTGTTTAAGGGATGGGTTTGTCTAACTGGCTTATTCACTTAGCACAATACTCTCCAGGTCCCTCCATGCTATCTCAAAGGGTAAGAGATCCTTCTTTTTCACAGCTGCGTAGTATCCCATGGTGTACATGTCCCACAGCTCCTTTATCCACTCATCCACGGATGGACCCTTGGGCTGTTCCCCGATCTTGGCTACTGTAACTTGAGCTGCTATGAACATAGGGGCACATACATTCTTTCTAATTGGTGTTTGGGGATTCTTGGGATATCGTCCCAGAAGTGCACTGTTGGTGGGAATGCAGACTGGTGCAGCCACTGTGGGAAACAGTATGGAGTTTCCTCAAAAAATTAAATATGGCCCTAACCGGTGTGGCTCAGTGGATAGAGCGTCAGCCTGCGGACTCAAGGGTCCCAGGTTCGATCCTGGTCAAGGGCATGTACCTTGGTTGTGGGCACATCCCCAATAGGAGGTGTGCAGGAGGCAGCTGATCGATGTTTCTCTCTTATCGATGTCTCTATTCCTCTCCCTTCCTCTCTGTAAAAAGCATACTGAGAAGTATGCTTTTTAAAGTATATTTTTTAAAAAAGGGAACAGAAAAGTGCATGCAGCCACCACATGTTTGTATGTAATTTTCTTTTTTTCTCATATAGGAGCAGAAATGCATAAAAGCAGCTGGAAATTTTCTGTGCACTCATCCTATTTAAAAAAATATTTTTAATATGGAACTGCCATTTGACCCAGTGATCCCACTTCTAGGGATGAACTGATTAGAAAAAACAAACAAACAAAACCACCTGTGGTACATTTACACCATGGAATACGATGCAACAGTAAAAAAGAAGTATTCTAACCCTTTGAGACAGCATGGAGGGACCTGGAGAGTATCATATTCAGTGAAATAAGCCCGTCAGAGAGAGACAAGTATCACATGATCTCACTCATACGTGGAATCTAATGGACAAAACGAAATAGAGCCAGAGACATAGGAGCATGCAACAGACCGACATGTCTCAGAGGGGAGGGTGGGGGCGGGGAGAGATTAACCAAAGAACTTATGTGCACAACCCATGGACACGGACAATAGGGGGTGAAGGCCTGAGGTGGAGGGGGGTATGGGGGACATCCGTAATGCTGTCAACAATTAAAACACGTATTTAAATTTAATATATATATTTATTTTTTTAAAAAAAGTAGAAGGAAGACAGTCTGGGAGCCAATGAGCATGGACCTGGGTTGTGGGCACATCCCCAGCGGGGAGTGTGCAGGAGGCAGCTGATGGATGTTTCTAACTCTCTGTCCCTCCCCCTTCCTCTCTGTAAAAAGTCAATAAAATATATTTTAAAAAAATAAAATAAGATGTCTTAATTAGATACATGGCAAACATAAGGATAGAGATATA